CACCCGCCGCCCCAGGCAGCACAGCTCCTCTGTTGGGTCAGCAAAACACCAGTGTAGAGGCCAGTGTAGAAATCACTCCTCCCCTGGGTCAACAAAATGCCACTGTGGGAGAAATACCCACCCCAGGTCAGCCAAACACTAATGGGGGAAGACACCCCATTGTCAGCAAAGTGCAGGTACAGGAAGCACATCCTACACCCCCAGTCAGCAAAAGGCCAGTGTGAGAGACACCTCCCTTTACCCCCCTCTGCCTGAGCCCACAACATAGGCTTGGGGTAGAGTCCTCCGAGGTGCTGCTCCTGGGGTGGGGGACGGCAGGATAGCTGGGGCTGCTACTGTTACCTGGGTGTGGGGGGAAGTGGGGAAGGCTGTCTCTGGGGAGTGGAGCAGACGGGGGTGAGAGTTCTCACATGGCACTAATGAAATCAACCACCAGCCTGCCCCCTCCCCTTCTACCTCTCCCCTGCTCCCCAGGGACCCTCCAGGCTCCAGCTGATGCAATGCCCAGGCCCAATAATTGTTTTCTTCCCTCTTTAAAGGGCCAGCTGCTGGTGCAGCAGCATACATCACCCTGACCCTTGACAGACCCCACAGAGCCTAGCATCCGGTTAGGGATAGGGGGAGCCCAGAAAGGAGCAGCTCAGCCCTGGGTTCTGCAGAGTAAAATCCAATTAATGTCCAGAGGCCAGAAGTGTCTGTGAGCAAGGCGGGAGGGAAAGATAATAAGACAGAGACAGTGCTCCCAGGAGAGCACATGCCCTGAGGCAGGGACCTTGGTCCCTGCTGGGTCCTCAGCACCTGACTCCTGCCTGCCTGTCCTGTCAAGTCCTTGGCACAGGAGTTACTCCTGAGTTCAGCAGTTATCATACTGAGCTTCCCTGAGTTCCAGGCACTGTGCTAAGCAGCTTAAAGCCACCATTTTATTTACTCCTCCCAGCAGATCTAGAAGGTGGGTCTGTTTTACTGAAGGAGGCTTAGAGAAAGGAAGTGATTTCCTAAATAGCACATAGCCAGAAAGTGGCACAGCCTGGATTTGAAGCCAAGTTTGCCCAACTCTGGGCTTCATAGCCTGCAGAGAGTGGTCAGTTTCAAACCCCAGGGCTGGAGATCCCAAACCAGGTAGCCTGGCACAGAGGGCAGGGAAGGGGTCTGTGGGTCCTAAATAGGCTCTGAAGGCCACGGTGCTTGGTTTAAACACAGATTTCACAGAACCCTTCCTCAACCCCCCTATTTCCCCCAAGAGAATGCCCCATTAGGTTGCCCACATACCCCCAGGGACAGTTGGCAGCTGCCTGATTACAGACTAATTGGTGGCTGCTAGCAACTGTGGGACTTGCTAGTTAACCTCTTGGTGACCAGGCCTAGCCCAGAAAGGCCCTCTCCCCACCCCTTCAGTCCCTAAACCCAAGGACCCTAGACTTACGTCATCATGGGCAGAAGGCAGGACCAAAGGGGCAGCAGCCTTCCTCTCCACACCCAGACAGCACCCCAGCCCATAGGACCACCTCCAAACAGCTCCCAGGTGGCTGTGCCAGCCACCACCCCTTGTTCTCTGGCCTTGGTATGGCCTTGCCCACCCCACCCAGGACCACGGGAGCTATGGGTCCTTCCTAGGTTTCCAGGCCCAGGATACGGGGAAGTCACCCACTCCTCAGGGCTGGATTGTCCAGAGAAAGTGCTGTGGGCGTGGGCCCAGGTAGCTTAGAGGCCAGCCAGTGAGACACCTTCTCCTGAGTGAGAGCACCCAGGTTGCTCACCAAGGGTTTTGCCAAGCTTCCCCAAACCCTGGACTTCCCACGGTGGACCAACTGCCTTTCCCAGCTTCCCAGAAGCCCTCTCTTCCACCCTAGGACTGGCGTGAGCACTACCCTTTTCCTTTCATAGACTGGGGTTCCTCTAGGCACCACAATGGTGTCTCACTGGGAGGAAAGA